ACATAGCCTGCTACAAAACATGGATCCCTGTCATTATGGACAGTTTCGGGAAATCCATGTCACAAAAATTGATTCAATGTGTGAAAATTCTATTTCACACAGGTTACAGACATGCTTGAGAGGAGTGCTATTTCTGGAAAATCGGAAACATAATCGATCACCAGCAGGTAATTTTTCCCCATTAAAGAGATAAAAATCACTGCCCTCTTTCTGCCACGGCTCAAAAGGTAAGCCAGTGATCTCCACAGGATCTTTTGACTGCTGCTGAATGCTGTAGACATCTCCTACATACGGAGGCCTTCTTATCAATATCAGCATTGATCCCCGGTTAATGAACATCCTCTTTGGCATTTGTCATGCCGCCTTTTCGGTATCACAGGTCCGTGACTGTGGGATAACTCTGCTCTGACCGAGTTGAAGTGCATTGACAACAACCAGATCAGCCTTCATGTTGTAATACTGTTGACATTCAGCTTTATGCCAATCTTCCTGAAAAGTTTTTTTTTTTTTTGCCATTTCAAATTTGCCTTGGAAAGCTGTCAGGAAAAAATGTTGCTTTAATGTCTTGTGCAAGCAGCCAAAGTTTCCAGTTAAATTCACAGGATCAGGCTGCTTCACACTTTCCATGATGCCTGGTTTCATTTTACTCCTCACACCATCTAATGTTTCTTATATAATTGAAGAAACTCGGGCTCTTTCTACACGCTTTATTGGCAAAGCCGAAGCGATGAAGCAACAAAGTCAGCACATATACACCCACATGCCATCTCCTCTTGCAATGGAGCTCGCAGTTTGTACTGAACTGCCCTCTAGTGGATCCATTTCTAGATTATTCCTATCAGTATAGTTCATCAACGTGACTTACATTTCTTCTATCAGAATTTTTAAAACCATCTGAAAACTAAATGCAGCAGAGTGTGATGAGAATGTAATTTTTTTTGGGGGTAGGGGGAATTGATCCTATACCTCTATGGAAAAATATGCACGTGCATCCACTGAGATGCCCCACACCTACCCCCCCCCTTCCACTGGTTCATGTGTTCAGGTGTGATCAATGCATACATTGAAAATATCCGTGGCTCACTGTGTGTGAATGGTAAGAGTCATATTATTGTGGAGTGTGAATATAATAATTCCACAAAGGTGATCTTTGACCTGAGAGAGAATTGATAACTTATAACAGAAAATGGGAAGTTTAACTTTTATTAGATTTTTAATAAAAAAGTTAAGAAATAAAAATAACTCACTAAAAAACTAAAGAGCACACAAATTGAAAAGAAACTAATAAAAATAGAGAATTGAGGAGGTCTGTGAAACTAAAAACTGAATAAAGACTGAGAATATAACTAGAAATGAAAGTGAGATAAAGGACTGAAAGATTTACACAAATCTACTATAGATGACTCCATCAGATAAAGAGGACAGCTAAGGAGAATCATAAAAGAGAAGCCAGCTACAACAAACAAATTATAAATATTAGTTCAATTCTTTTAGTAGAAACAAGAGCACACGCAAGCGTAATAAAACAATATACAAAGAAAAAGAAAGAAAAGTAACATTGATCCAGTTACAGAAAAGCACAAAACCAATCAGTGGCTTCATGACCTTGTTCTGGAACCGTTGGGAAATATTGGGATGGTCAGAAAATAATTATTTCTATATTTCTAGTTGTCTTTAACTGAACATCATGGGAGTTGGGATAGGCTCCGCCCCCACCGCCCCTCCATCCTGCAGCAGCTATTGTTGAGAATGAATAAAAATTATATATTAAAGAAAATCTTTTTTCTTTTTTTCTACAGAGTGGTTATGAAGTAAAGCATGATTCCTAAACCTGGTGCAAAGCTGCAGAAGTGACAGTGTGTATGCTCTGTAAAAGGGTGTAAATGGTCCCCGGGCCCCAGCTTACGGACTGTATTAGAATTCTGTTTGTATGATCCTTTTGTAACATCAAAATGATTTCAGCTTGAGCTCTGTGTTGCATAAAAATAGAACCAGCTGTTCCAGGATCAGGATCTGACAGGGGAATCTTTTTTCTGGTTTCTGTCACAAATCTCTCAGGGTCTAAATAAAGACTAAAACAACTGGTAGAGAAAGTAGAGCCTTACAATGATGAGCAGTCAAATATTTATTTACCTGATATGGACTGCAGCTTATTGAAACATTAAGATAGTTTATCTCAGGAATCCGTTTAGGCGTATAGTGCTAAAAAATGAAAACAATATTGAAATGGATTGTTTTTAGGAAAAGTACAGAAAAATGCATCATGATTTTTTTTTTTTAAACTATGCATTTTCACAATTTATCATAAGTTTGACCTCCAAATAGCTAATTTATCCTTGGACTAACCCAAATACTGAAATAACAGGTCATAGCGTGGTGCCCTCAAGTGGACTCACTCGGGAAAGACAAGAAAAATGTTCTTGGCTTAGACTTGCTTAAAACACGGCTCGTAGCTTCAACAAAGTGTAACTCGTGACTTGTGAAATAGGTTTCTTTTCACTTCTTTGACAATATGTTTTTGTCCTTATCCCCAAACTATTTGAATAACTTTTTTTTTCAAACTATTTTGGGGTAATGGGCTATGAATTAATAACTTCATAGAAAAGGAGGCAGTACCAGTTAGTTATTTAGCCTGCTGTTGCCTCTTTTATTTTGAGCTGTTTTGTCCTTTTTATAAAGGCTACCTTCATACACCTTATGCTTTGACTTTAATTCAGAGATAATCCAAATAATAAGTTATAAGAAGTTTACCAGCTTAAGTGACGTCGCTTTCCTTGGAGCCACAAAAGAGACGTGTACAAAGAAACAAACCCTCTGATAAGATGAGGGGTTTAACTGTGTAACCCAGAGGGCACCTGCCTATTTTTGGACAACCCCCTTAAAAGCAGTTGAGATCTGCTGTCTCAGCTGAATTAAACAAACTTATCATGACATTCCTCCTGAGTCTTCTCTGTAAATAGGAGGACATCTTGAACCAGGCTGTACAATGTAACATAAAGTGCGAGACAACTCGAAGCACTGCGTGACAAACGGTGTCGGGGCATTTTTTAAGATTGGAGTGACGGACAAGTCAGACGTCTCCAGTTTTTGCTTCCTGGAGAGTTTGTTCAGAATCATAGGCAGTTCTCTCTCTCTCTCAGTCTCACCGATTTTCAAATGGCAGCCTGTTTAAATTCCACCAAAAAAAACTTCTACTTTATATAATACAATATGTTCTATGACTGCTGAATCGGTTAGAAATGCTTCTCACACATTTTTATATTCACTTATTTGCAGCCACGTGTGGCCCTCGTATCAGAGCCACACAATCATACCACAGTGGTGTCAAGAATGAACAAAAAAAATGTATCTTGTTATTTATCTATCAGTTCATTTTCATCCCTGATTTTGTTTTTCTTATATGTGCTCATCCAGCTCACACGTTATTGCTGCCTACAGTTTGCCAGGAACAACTATTCCTGTACGGAAGCCTTTCGTCTAAAGTTCAAGCTGTGGACAAACGAGTGGGAGGCCCCAGACTGGAGACATAGAAGCTGCTTGTTTGGATTCCTGACCATTTTTCTGTCTCAGTTACATTTGAAAAATTAAATTGAAGGAAGAATATACGCTTTTCACATCTTCTCCCTTGTTCTTTGTAGAGTGTGTTGCCATTTATTTATCTTTAACGTCACACAAGCAAAAAGAGTGGTGTCTGTAAAAATATATATATGTGATGCCACGGGTAAAATATTCATCAAAGGAGTCGTGTAGCCTTCTTTGGGATAAGTCATTCTGTTAGTGGTGGCGTTTCATGTTTCACGGCAGCAGTTTCAGAACATATAATGTTGCTGCTCATAAAGTGAGACAGAGAACCTCACTGCAAACACTTTTGGATAAAGATGGTGACTTCTCAGCCACTAATTCTGATACACTCCAGTGTTTCAAGACTCGCATAGTAAATAAAAATTATTTAACCTCCAGCTTTAATTTCTATTCATTACTTCCACACATTAGTAAAATTGTTCTGGAATTATAGCATATCCTGCCAAGATTTAAATATTTTTTTGTTTTTTTACACTTTACAAGATACTATCCTTGTTAAATGTAAGATTAAGATATAAAGCATTGGAGGCAATATACTGTATTTAGTTAGTTAGCCAAATATGGTCAACTTAACCATGTATGCTTCTTAATTTTGATAGGAAATCTTGAAAAAATGTGTTTTAAGGTTTAATTAGTTTAAAATCAATTGCTTATTCACTTCATTAAACGAAAGAATTCTGCTTAAAACCTTTAAAAGACGGATAAAAATGCTTTTTCTAAACAAAAGATTAAAAAGATCCATGCATGTGTCCTAATGACTTTTTCTCGTCTCTCCTTAAAATGTGATGGGTTTCTGTGAGCGTCATTATCGGGTTGATATGTGAGAAAATGTATAGATCACACTGTAGTGCTGCATGTCCAGGTGTAAGCTGGGTGCCATCTAGTGGCGTTAGACAGCCCAGTAGTCTCACCCGATATGTCGCTGTCCTTCTTTTTAAGACTTTTAAGATTCTCAGTAACACAAGGGTTTTTTTAGACTGTAGTAGCAAAACCAGCATCTTAGTTTTGTTCTTCATTCCCTGCGTTCTCCTCAAAACCTTTATTCATCTTTACCTATTCAGGTTTTCTAAACTTTCTCTTTCATAAGTCAGATATTTCTGAAGTATCTGAAATGTCTGAAAGCTGCGGAGGATGGAGGAGCTTTTCGCTGATCTGACAAATTGAGAGGCCTTCTCTCCATCCGATCAAAGTCTTTGCCTTTTTTCTCACCGACTTATCTTCCCATTGCCAAATTTGTAGCTGCTTTCAACTACCTACATCAATCTATAATGTAGATGAAAAGTGCAGAATAATTATACATGAAGTTCATGCTTTACTAACGCTGACTATCAGAACTCGTTCAGGTTCAGTTATTAGAATTTGTATTACATGTTTTTCATAGATGCAGAAAGTCTGCAGAAACTTTCACACGGGGACCATCTGTTGTACATAAACACATTTTATTCAGCCCGATATAGGTTACACATGAAAAAAAATTATTTCTAAGAGAACTACTTCCCTTTGTGGAGCTAATGATATGACTTTTTTTTTTTTTTGTTTAAATTAGCTTCAGATTGCCATTGGACAGCTATGAACACCAGCTACCGTAGGCTGCGAGGAGTAACCAGAAATCACATGCTACGACTGACCTGAGGCTAGTTTTTTTTTTTTATCTTAAAAAGGAAAACAAAAAAAAACACATCCCCTGGCAGTCTTTTTTTTTTCTCACTAAAGGATATGGAATGTTATCTCAGAGATGCAGGTAAAAAGAAAACTTCTCTGCAACAGCAGAAATATAGATAAGAAATGGAATTTTTAAAAAATGAAAACTGATCCCCAGAACTCTGTTCCCAGGCTGCTACTGTGTGTGAGGCATCAAGAAACACCTTTCTCAGTCCAAAGTGAGCTAAGAAAAAAGAAAAAAAAATAGAAAAGAAAAAGTCAAACCTGCTGCTCTCATTCCGTTTCATAACCCTCAAACATGGATAAGAACAGAAATGGTGATTATTATAGAAGAGACGATACATTTACACTGTTTTGGAGTCTGATATGCTTGGACTGGCAGTCAGAGACAGAGCAAAGACTGATGAAGGGGTGGAAGGGAGGGGGAAGGGGTTCTTAACATTAAACTAGTGTTAGTCTTTTTTTTTTAATGATAAATTCACAAAGTGCAAATTCTCATGTAGAAATTGTTCATTTTCTATCATAATGAAAGATGCTTGATTCCAACATATTGCCAACAAAGCCATTACCACCCTTTCTAACCAGCTATCCGTCAGAGTATCAAAAAAACCAAAAAAAAAAAAAAAAAACTATCACTAAACACATGCTGTAATGACGCCTACCAATTAGTTTCAAACCCGGACCAAAGCCTCCTTTTTGCATCTCTCACAGTAAACGGTTACCGTCAGCGTGCTTTAATAGTTAAAATATATATATTAATCTATCATTAAATAGTATGCCTCTTGCACAGTCTTGCATGCATTGAAGAGCATTTTTGGGCAAGCTGTACAAGAGGGAAAGGCGTTGGGACGGACTTGCTCAGGCTGTGGGCTCCGGCCGGGTCCAGGCACTCTGCCGCCGCCTGTAAACGCGTTCTACCCAACACTCCCTGCAACCGCGTCGGTCCAAAGATGGTTCTCCAGTGTGTTTGTCTGCGTTTGAGAATGACTATGAGTGTGTGTGTGTGTGCGCGTGCGTGCGTGTGGTCCTAAACTCAGTTTCACAAAAGAACTGTGTCATCACTGCAGTTTTGTTCCAAGCTTTCGTTGTCTGTTCCTGCAAAGAAAATGAAAGGGGAAAAAAATGACACTTTCAGATGAGTGAATTTGCCAAGAAATCAAACCTACGTGAACACCGTGGTAAGAAACACAATTCAAATTCGATCTCTAAGTCAAAAGAGGGAGCCAATGCCTCAACTAACTGTGCCAGTGCGTTTTTCTTTTTTTTTTTGTTCATGTTAAAATAAGAAAGAAGCTGCCCTAGAAACCTGAAGTCCTAAATACACTAAAGGTGTGTTTGAAACACAAAAGCGACTCCTTAAATGTGCCTTTATTGAACAGACAACCACGACAGCCGCTTACCTGGCCTCTGATCTGGTCACTGTGTACTCAAACCATAAGATGTTGGGGATCAGGCTTGTGTCTCTCACCAGGAAGTACTCTGATATTGGCCTGTTGGGAGTGAAAAGCAAAGCAAAATGAAAGGTAGGCACATAAGAGCAGAGCTAATGGACGATTCTTAACTGATTTTGAAAAAGCATGAGCAGTAAAATGGCTCCTTACCACGCTGCTATTTTGGGGAATAATGGTGTCAGCACCTCTTGCGTGAAGAAGAACCAGATTATGGCGATGGTACTGCCTGCCACTGCCCCGTAGAACACCTGGCTCCAGGTGTGGTACAACAGATACACCCTGCGAGTGAAGGAAAGACCACGGGAAAGAAATATGAGACTCGTTTATATAATATGAGACTAAGCGAACTCGTTTCAATGGAAAACTGCTGAGGAAGTTTTTCACACATCAAAAGTTGCAAAGGAAATCGCACTTTTCCACCTCAGCAGCCATTTCATACCATTTACACACCATAATCACATTTTTGACCATCCATTGATCCGTCACACTAACTGCTTTATGCGTTTTTTTTTCTTTTTTCTGGTCTTTTTTTTTTTTTTTTTTTTTTAAAGAATGAAAGATCAGACAGGGATTGTAAACCTCTGAAAAAAGGGCCTTACATGTAAAAATAGAAAAGTTTGAATTCCTCAACTGAAAATTAAATAGAGAAATGGCTAAAACAGATAAAATGCTAAAAACTGTTGTTCAAAACAGAAAACTAATAGCTAGGAAATATATATCAATCGTCCAATTAGGACTCTCCTGAAGAGATTTCCGCACATAAACATCTGCAGAGTTTATTTGTTTAACGATGAGGTTTAAGTCACGATGACCCATGCAGCAGATGTGCAAACCCACAGAGGAGCAGATTTCCAAGAACTACATGAGGTTTGTCTCATTTTTCTTTTTATAGATCAGAAAACTGAACAAATGAAAACAATATGAAGATATCTTCATTTCTATTCATATTAACCAGTAGATCTTTTGTGGGGGAGAAAATATAAGCAATCAGTTACTTACCGGCTGTAGGACACTGACATGGCCATGCCCAACAGCATGATGGACAGTATATGTCTCCACAGCAGGTCCACACACCGCGCATTGTTTGTTTGATGCATTCTGAAAGAGATCAGCGGAGCTCAGGCAAAAGCATCTCCCTTGTGGAAATGTAAAGGAATGAGTGGTAACTGAAAACCAAACTTTTGCATTCGTTTACAACAAACATCAGCGAGTCGCTGCACTTCTAAAACTCCACAGCTATACTTTTCCTACCCTTCAGCCTCCCCAAACAGCAGGAAAACAAGCTCACCTTAAATAAAGGAAAAGAAAGAAGTAAACAACAAAGAACCAGATGAGCTGGGAATGGTTGGAGGGCATCCCATATTCTGTGTGCGTGGTTGTGTGAGCTCCTGGAGAAAGACAAAAGAATCTAGTGAACAATGGCATAAAATATGTAATTCATACATAGAGTTAATCTGAAGTCATATATAAATTCAGAGGCTCAGTGAGGAAATGACACCACAATGCAGTGCAAAACATAGCATTCAGTTGACCATCAAAATAACCTAGTAAATAAAATCTGAGGCAGAATAAAGTCGAGTTCGACATCTGGAAGTCAAATTTAAATTAGAAGATATTTGGTTTAGTTCAATACTAACCTAAATGATGAAAAAGATCTCAAATCAAACATCTTTGTTTGTGCACCTCTGACACACAAAAAAAATGCTTTACACCAAAAACATGTGACTCACAGACACGCCCCCAAAGGAGCTGCAAATGCAAATGCAAATGTCTGCGTAGGACGTCTTTGAGGAAGCGGCTGTCCGGGGAGCAACCAAGAACGTTTTTACTTAATAATGCTTGTTCAAATACAATACATGCAGCACAAAAAGCAACGCAAAACATCCATCACAGTTCCCACTGCGGTTAGTTCGGATCTGGTCATCCAGCTCCTTGCCCGCGACAGTCTCATCTTTACAGTTATATGTGTTAAGGAGCAGGAGCAGGAGCAAAATGCAAATCTTTATTTATTTTGAATATGCTTGTGCCTAACTAGGAGGCCGTGTACAGGTAATGTTTCATCTTTAGTTACAAAGCCACAATAGTGAAATCGCTGACCATGAGACATTGTTAGTTTAATGTGACTTTCATAGAACAAAAACACGGGGCTTATGATAACACAAATTGCTGGGATGGAAATCAATCCGAGTGGCTCTAGAGGTTTTGTGCCGGCTCGCCGAGGTAGTCGGTCTGTCAAAGTGTTTTTGCAGCATTGCCCAACCCTGCAATAGTCAAAACTTTGTTCTTTCACTCACCTGCACAAGGGCGCGGCTCTCTGAGAATGTGCTTCAGCACCCAGTTCACTCCTTCGTTCAGGAGGAGCCCTCCGAAGAAGGAAATCTTTGACGAAAAAGACAAAATGAGCACACATACTCTTCTGCCTGGCTCCTTACACACAAGGCACTTGCCACATTCACAAGACAATAAAACTAGGACAGGGGGTAGACTTACCGTGTGGAGCTCCCGTTTAAACATTATGAGTGTGACAAAACCCACAAAAACGGCGATGGGTAGGAGACTAATGTAGGCCAGCAGCTGTCCCGTCAGATCACCTGAAACAGTCACACAACATTGATGTTTTCTGATGTTAAGGCACACAAACACAGCCATTAATACCGATGGTGAGAGCCCGCCGGGGAACCCGGATAGATTACATTTTTTAGTCTGTTAGTACAGATTAGAAACTAAACGGAAAGTCATAATCGGGACAACATAAACTGTATGATCGTTAATATTCAGGCACCTCTGTTAAATGTGTTTCATGCTAGTTAGACTTCTCAGCATCAGGCCAGGGAGCTATACAGTGCGTTAGCTGGGTACATTGCTCTACGTGGGGCTAAATAATTACTTCCAGTGCACCTACAAATATCTCGCGGCTCAGAAAATGTTTTTAAAATGTCCAATTATTTTATATAGCACGTTATTTATTCGTGGGTTGCCGGCAGAAAACACCAAAGTCAATAATAAGACACATAGCAGGCTAGCTAGCATTCATTGTGATCATTTTTACCAAACTGCGCATGCGGCTCTGGCTCACAATTTGGCAGCTCGCGCTCCGCTACGAGTACACCAGCTGCTCAAAATTTGGCAAGCATTGATGGCCGTGTCCATTCAGTAGCAACAAAATACACACACTGCTCGAGGATTGCGGTTATCGGACTCAAGTAGGCATAAAACAAAGTTGAGTTTACGTACCCTCGGGGAACTCTACGTGTGTCACTGATATGGCCCGCCATTGAGGTGGTGCCGAGCACTGCTCTTCCAACGCCATCTTACCCGGACACAACCGGGACGGCCTCGGTGGAACGCCCCAGACACGCGTCCGACCAATAGCGAGCGGAGCTGCGTGTTCAAAAGGAGCCCCGGCAGCGGAAGAGACGGCCAATCCCAGCCGGCCACTGCGGTGGAGCTGTTCATTTCCATAGAGAAGAATTATTGAATGAAGAAATACTCAAAACTCCACCAGTCCACAAAAGAGCACCAAACTACACTCATTCAAAAAAAAAAAAACGAAAAAGAATAAACAATGTATAAATTATTAACTTACAATACATGTTAAGTCACGTCATTAAAACATTTTTTAATTGAATATTATACAAAGAAATCAATAAAAGATGAAGGTTTATTTGAAACATTTTGTTGGCAGCAGTGTGCCAGTTTGGCACCATTTTAAAGCACGACAAACCAAATTCTCTAAAGTTAAGCTTATTTTACCACATTACCACCAACTGAGCAAAAAAATAGGCATCAAATCTTGGGTGTAACTCACCTGTGTAGCAAATGACACTTTCACACTTCACACAGTCTCTTTATAGGAGGCTTTCAAATTCTGTCGTCCAGTCTCAAAGATTCCTTTTTTGACACAAGCAAGTTAATGTGTTTTCTTTTAGGCTACGACGAAAAAAAATGTCACACAGCAAAGGCTTCCACAGCTACACAAGCAGAAACCAGTAGATACAATAGAATAATCTGAAGGTTGCACAGATAAAGAACGACTGGCATGAAGGCAGCTCAGTGAATGAAGCAGGATGCAAAACACAAACTTGTTGTCTTAAGACATGTTTGCATGTGTGCAAACACAGTCAAACTGCAAACTTACATGTGCTGAATCATTTGAAAAAGTAAGGATTATTGACTGAACTCACGGGAGGTGCTTGGAGAAAAGAGTTGTGTGACATTTGTTGAACTGCGCCGACACAGTTCTTATTTGTGGCAGATTCAGCATGTTTGGATTAAACCACCACCATTATCTCCGGCTCCAGGAACAGTGTGAACACAAAATGATACACGAGCCACAGATGTAACACCACCCTTATCACTGACTGTGGCTGAATCTCATGTAACGTCTTTTAAGAAAAGTGTATCAAAGTCTTTTCTTTTTGAGGACACACATAATTATAGTTTAAAGCTGAAGATTTGGGGCAGAGGTGGTGTTTACTCAGGTTTTTGCCGGAGAGTTTATTACTCTGAATTGAGAGAATTTTAGTTTGTTCCCACTGATATGTAACAAATATAAAACAAAAAGAGAATAAAGTAATGCCAACTGTTACACAAAGCGTGTTGTGATATTAACTGTGAGATTCTGAGCTTGAAAACTAATGAACATGAAACACTAACTCGGCATGTTGATAGAAATGAAGCCTCACCCTGACCTGTTTGGACCTTTATATATAATCCTGAATCCATGAAGTCACAATTGTGTCTGTTTTTGAAACAGTTCTGCTTTAAAGCCCCAATATCACCCTCATTCAGAGACGGTTTCCAACCTTTCTCCTCGCACCTATATTTAATTGATATCTTGGAACATAGAATATGTATACTTAGGATTTCTCTATACATTTTTTTGTTTTAAAGAGGTTAATCTTAAACGAAGTAAGCGTTCACACAGTTAATCAAATCAGGTGTTAAAAATAACTAATTATAATAATATTTTAAAGGCTGTTCTCCCAAACATGCCAATCCACCCAAAGACTACTTCTGCCAACCTTTGTGAAATGAGACACATTTCCTGGAAAAGGGAATACACTGTAGTAGGACAAACCTGCAAGCTGCTAAGTTTATACCCAAAGTCGACTAACTGGTTTTCTATTGTCTGCTGTGACAAAGGTTTCTGTTTCAATATTTGTCTTCAGTCAGTTTAAATTATGCGAACACTGAGGTGTTGTTCTAATGTATATTCATATTATTACTTTTTGGAATGAAATGGAGTATGTTGGTTATAGCATTACCACAAAAATTAAGCATGTCGAATGAAATATTCTCCAGAATGCAGATCTGGAAGAGACAAATTTAACATTAGTTACACTGTGATATATTAATATGGATTTTAAGCATAATATCTTAACTCAGGACAGTCCAGTGTAACGTTTCTGCCACCTTCTGGACAGAATCACATTATGGACCAGCACTTCTAAGCATCAAGAGGTCCATTTTAAACCAATTTTGTCTTATCATGATGTCCTGCATTAAGGTCACTGCAGTGGCCAAATAATATCATGTGTTGGGACATTTGAATCTCATTGGATCATGACATAAAACCAACCAGCTGGAATAATAGACAAAACACATATTACAAAAAAATAACATTTAATGTGGATGGAGAATCGGTTTACAGATTGTGCTGTCACTGTAATATCACAGTAGAAAAGACAAAAGGCATGAGTAGGACACTTGCAATGCACATCAGTGGAAAAAAGAAGAAATGAAAAAAATCAACATTTTGGCCACCTGAAATCCTCTTAAAACACTAAAACTGATTGAACTATTCAATAAGGAGAGCTCATGCTAAAATTTGAACCTTCAAATGATTTGAGCTTTCTAAATATTTTAAGCCTATCACTAAAGGGGATTTTTTTTTTTTTTAAGTGTACAGCATCTTGGGCTGCATCTACATGTTGCTCAGTACACGGATGCAGGTCAGAGAATCTACAGTTAGCATGCAAAGGCTGTTCATTTGCGCGGAGACTATGGAAAAAGCAGAACTTCGTTATTTCCATGACACACGTCAATATTCTAAAGCGAGGGTGAGCACTTTTTCGTAGCAGCTTACCAGGTATCAGACCAAACACGGATAAATACAGACTATTTAAATACACTTCTAAAGAGAACACATGTCAACCAAGTCCTATGATCACGGAAATGAACGTCTCCATCGGTAGTCTTCTGGGAAAAAAATAACTTCATTTTTGTATAGCATCTATACTCTGTTTCATCAGGAACGCCTGACGTATGCAGACACGTGATGTGTAATAAATAACTGATTATCAAAGGAGCCATTACACATTCCCACATCCTTCTGCTAAAGTGCAAAATGCTTACAAACACAAAGCTGCACACCAGTTTAAAACAGGGACCCAAAATCTTTCTCTTCCTGTTCATATCCAAAATAAAGAAACACAAATACGATACAACATTAGCAGGATTTGATCTGGAAATGCCATAAAACACATCTTTGAGAACACAAATCTCATAGAGTCAATGTTTGATGAATCACTGTAATAAAAAAAACTGAGCGAAAATCAGAAACTAATGCTGGGATCCAGTTGCATCTACACTGAGCTTCTAATGCCCTTAATGCACACTGTATACGTTTAAAACAAAAACAAAAAAACATCTGATTGAGGTTATCTATTACGGGACCGTTTCTGCCTTTAGGTCAGTGGTGTTTTCCCAAAGGCCTGCAGGAGAAACGGACATTTCACTTGGCATTTCGCTGCCCTCTCAGAGTCTCAGCGCTCTGAGAAAACCACGAGCAGAGAAAAAAAACACAGTGCATTTACGAAGAGGCTCGGCCCGGCTGTACAGCACAGGCTCAGATCCCGTTTAAAAGCCCATGAAGGGGGCTCCTCCTTTTACAGGTTTTAAAACGCGCCGCACAGATTAGGTGATCCATTATCGCAAATAGCCACAGAAGCGCATCCGGGATTAGTTTGAACGCCACAGCCGAGAGGCTGAGAGGTACCGGGAGGTTTTCTCCCAAAAAAACATCAGAAAAACAAACTCAAGGAGGTGAGAATTATTTTTAAAAAACAACAGTGAAACCAGACTTTCTATGCAAATAAAATGAGTTTGAATATCATTGGTTTTAGTCACAATCCCATTCATCCCTGTGACGAATTAATTAAATATATACTTACAAGTAATGATAGTAAATCAGTAAAAGTCACAGCCCAGTTACCCAGCTGATGAAGACATTTGGAAATTGGAACCTCAAATTGATTTCTTTATGTCACATATTAGCCCAAAGTATTGACTTATCACGCTGTCTTTTTTCTTTAAAAGCTCCCAAACCGGGATTAACATTCATCTTTTTTGTTTCTTTTTCAACAGCTCGGCAAAAACTGGATGGATGACCGTGATCTCAACACAAGCCCGCAGCGGGTAATGTGAAGCATGTTTTCGTTCAAAGGCAGGCCTGGATATGTAACAGGTTAGCGTGCTCAATCAAACGGTGGAAACCGGGAGACCGAAGAGGATTTCAGGAGAAGTGATGAGGCAGACTCATTGCATGGAGCAGCACTATTGTTCAGACGGCCAAAGTTTGCATGAGCTCTAAGGAACGGGCATGGTTTAAGAAATATTCTTCCACTTTTAATATAAAACATCAAAGCACACAATACTGGCTCCACACAGTAGTGAAGAATATGATTTCAGCCCCGTCCCGCTGCTGATGAGCGCGTCTCTCTGGGGACACTCCATCCACGCTGTGTCCCGAGGGCCGAGGCGCCGTCCCTGTGTGCTCGGGGGGGGGGGGGCTCCTCAGCCCTGTTTATCACAAGTATCCATGTCACCCGACGAGGCAGCGGCAAGTCCTCACACGTCTGTGATTCTAGACGTCTTTCTGGATACGCGGAAAAGCCGGCGACACGAGGGAGAAGAAGAACCATTTCATCCAGGCGCTCTCCCTCATTAGCTGTGGCTGTGGTGAAACGCGTCCTACCGGGGGGACTTTTTGATTAATGCGCACGGATGAATTAATGATGCTGGTTCTCCGTGTGTCACAGAAACAGGAGTCGGTCCTATCCTAGCGTAAAGAGAGGAGGAGTTGAGCCGGCCCTGGTTAACCGTACAGGGTTCCTGTCGAGCTCTCCGAGTCTCTGGGCAGGGCTCCGTTCAGCTCCAGCAGGCTGCCGATTCCCAGGTAGCCCAGTAGGATCTCGCTCCTGCGGTGGGAAAGTTTCAGGATGTCTTCGGCCAAGCACTGAGTGGTGGTGAAGCGGACCTTGTCGTGGTCAAACATATCCTTAAGGTACTGGACGATTTGTTGCTGCAGGGGAAAAAGGAAGAAATCAATGACAGGAAGCCTTATGTCACATGACGTACCCTAACCCACTTCACGCTAAGAACAAAAACTCCCACCGGCCGATTTGCTGATTTTGGATGCTCTCACCTTGAAAATGGTGCAAACCTCACTCAGGTGCTGCTTGGGTCCCAGAAAGCCAAAAGCTAAAACTGGGCTCACGTGTTCCGATATGGCATAGAAGTGGGAGATGAATCCATCGGGGACCTGGAGAGAGCAGAGAAAGAGTCGCTCGTACAAGTTTGAAGAAGTATTGCCACAAAAGCGGCGGCTTGTGAGGAAAACACGGGCCCATTCACCATGAGAAGACGCCTCTTGGCTTTCAAGACGGACCAGCAGGCGGTTGCCAGGGCCTGCGAGAAAGACAACACTGTCATGACACAAGTTGTCGGACACCGTTGGTTTAAATTCTGTGCGCGTTGGGTGTCTGTGTAACTTACCGTCTCTTTAAAGCTGTCGGAGAGCCATCGGTTCCTTAAAACGGCCACCACAGACGATGGGGGGCTCTCCAGGTCCTCGAAAGCATCCATCAGGATAAAGTCCAACACAATGTCAAAAAAGTTCAAACACACCACCTGCAGAGGACACAGGAAGCCACAGGGCAATGTTTACATTGAGTAAAAAAAAAGAAAAAAAAGAACGAAAAAAAAGCTCTTTGGTGAAATGTTTAAAAAAAGAAAAGTGACACTCACCCCTCGACCCTCCAGCTCCATCTTAGTGACCGGCCATGTTTCCTCTCTCTGAGTGTACAGCAGCATGTCCTCGTAGCTCTCTAAGAAGGCTTTGGGGCTCTGATTTAAAGCGAGACTAAACTGTTATAGCTGCTGAAATGTAAGAGGTTTGTTGATATTTACGTGCTTTACCTTGTTTGCTTTCACCATTAGCCCCGCAATCATCTGTTTCCCAGTCTCCATGAAAAATGTCCGGTGAGTTTCATCCAACAAAAGGTACTGGAAAAAAAAAAGTGACTTATTTTCGGGTAATAGTCTTTGATGTTTTTAAAAAATGAGAGTCCGAGCCACTGATGGCGAATCATGAATGTGGCTGTCCAGAAGTCACTACATGCAGCACTGGTCTAAAAACATTCAAGAAGGCTTTCGGGGGCTCTGACGATAAGTGGGAGTAGACGAGAGAGCTGTGACAAACCTGGAATGCTTGTCTCACACAGTGGAGCTTGGCAAGGAAGTCTTGGTCACCGTAACATTCAAGTAATTCGGTCCTGGTAAAGAGAAGAAAACCGTCACTTTCAAAACTTCACTATAGCTTAAAACTGTATTGAGTAGAAATTGTTTTTCACACCACTAGAGGGCAGCAGTATTACAGCCCCAAAACCGAAAAATTACCTCTGAGACAACTTTAATCGGCTTACATGGAATTAACATTCATTTAACTTTTTTTTTTACCACTCAAACTTTGTAATAGAAGCATATAAGCAATTATTTGCGCCTCGTGTTTAATGAGTGGCGTGTAGTGACGTCCAGTCACTCAGTGGATGAGTGAGAAAGTTACCTCAGGGACCTATAGTTCACTTTGCCTTCCTGAACCAGAGACGTGGCTTCTTCATAAAGAGCTGCAGTCTTCATGGGCTTATAAACCTCGTCTAACGCCAGGTTATCGAACAGCTGCGCACAAAGCACACACACACACACGCACAGCTCAGTACGCCGCTGCCTTCACGCTGCATCGACAGAGAGGCTGCAGACGTGGGGGCATTTTATGTGTTTCGAGACGGGCGAGCGCTCGTGTGGCAAACAAATTCACCTCGGCGGCGGAGAAAAAGGAGTCGTCGGAGGTAACCGTAGTCGCGTCATCGTCATTCAATCGGTGGAAACTCTCCAGCTGGGGTAGGATCAGGGTTCCTTCACTCTCTGCCAAAGGAAAACCACAAACTGCCCCAGATGATGAAGAATTTCCTTCAGGACTACGTTCTCAGCTATTGACTTCATCAATAATTCAAATCTCTTCAAGTACATTTGTCTTGACAAAGTTAGAATTCAAACTCCATTTTTTTCCCTGCTAATAAAAACACTTCCTACAGTCCTAAAACAGCTCATTTGTTCATAAAAATTTAAGCTAGCTCTTACCAAAGTCTGCCAGAACACTCTCCGCTGGGATGCTGCTGCCAAAATCCTCCTGTAGGTGGTACGCCCGGTGGAGAAGGGTCTCCAACTTCTCAGCAAACCCTTTGTTTCGAGCTTCGGACTAATAACCAAAATGGAATCAAACTGGTGAATAACTGCTTGTTATAACGCTGCAATAAATGTATTAATGGTGTGATTATTGTTTTTTTTCCAGTAACATGGATCAAAATTGGTCTAAAAGTCTAAAGATGTAATAAACTATACTGTCTGTACAGCTTCTGTGTAAAACAAAAAGTTGGGAGCATTGTTTACTGGTGGTGACGGTTTGATGGAGGCGTCTCCACACGCCGCCCCCAGCAGAGCCAGGCTGTTGCTGGAGGACGAGTTCGGGTGGCGGATGTTCAGGGCCTGCTCCCACTTCCGCAGCGCCTCCTCAAACAGCTCCATTCCTAAAAGACACAGACCACCCCAACTAAAAATAAATTAAAAAAGAGTGTGTGTTGGGAAATGAAAAAAGGGCAAAAAGCCCTGGTATGGGTCTCTGGCCTAAGCTGTAGTGTTTTCACTCCACCAGAAAAACTAAATTGTTATAAACCACTACTAGTCTCCACTTTATCTAGCCGGCCCTTTTACAAGCTGTATAATACTGTATTATTCATATTAGTAGCTGGGCACTAATAGACGAGCATAAATAATGAAAATTCCATTAAAACATCTTAAAACAACACGCATATCTATAATTAAAATCAATTGCATTTACATGTTTTTTACCAATTCAGTGAACCAGAAGAACTTGAGCTTTTTGCTTAGAAGCTTTTTTCAAATGTTTTCTGTTTTTAAAGCTGCCGTTTCCTCTGAAATGCACTACTAAAGGAAAAGTGAATATGGCTTTTTTCCCCCTATTTTAATCACTTGGAAGTATTCGTTTTCACAAAAGCAAAATACATAAATAAATAAATAAAATAAAGGGAAAAAGCTCACCCATCAAATAAAGGTTCTCTGCATTCGCGTCCTCCACTGCCCCCGATTCTTCCACCACAGGCTCGGCCTCCCAGGGGGTGGAGGGATTAGCAGACTGGTTTGGGGAGCTCGGCACTCGCGTCTGTGCCAAAAAACAAAACAGACAATCAAATACACACAGTGTGAGAGGAGAATAAATGAAAGGATTATGCAATTGTGACACGGTAACGGAAAAACTAACAGAGGCCAGGCTGTGTGAGGAGCTGGAGTGTTTGCTGGGAGCCAGGGAGGAAATTCCGCTCATGGTGTCATTGCTCCGAGAGCTGGGACTCATCATCTGTCGACCAGCAAACGGGCCTTTCACAAACAGAAAGAAAAGAAAGTTCAAGATGCTTGGCGGCGCAAAAGCGGAGTCGGGTCCAGCTTTAGCTTCTGCGCACTTCTCTTTAACGACGAGGGCCGTCCCGTCTTCAGCAGCGCCTCCGGTATTCCCACCGTCTTCTGGCCCTCCTTCCCTTGAGTCCCCTGCTTCCTTTTTCTCCCTCGCCTTTTCAGCTGATGGGCAGTGAGAGCCAGGGCGACGCTGCCCAGGGCGGTGGCAAACAGCACCTTCTTCAGGTTTGGGGAAAGCTTCAGCTGGGAGAATATGGACTGGAAAAAGAAAAAAAAAAGAAAAAGAGCAGCAAGGAGGTAACGTGATCAGATGGCTCCACTTCAACATTCCTACGAGCTTGTATAGAAGAAGTGAAAGGTTTTACCTGCCCGAATGTAGAATACAGAAAGACTGGTATCTCGGCTACAGTCATGGCCAAAGCCTGGGCGATGGACACCCCATCTGACCGTCTCAGTGACATCTCAGGAACTGAAAAGCCTCCGGGCCTCAGGTCTCAAAACTCCCTCACATTCACTCAAAGCGAGAGGATTCCTCTCCGCTCTCAGATCAGCCGACACAGGACCTTCTGATGAACAGTCTGAAGTCATCCAGTTCTGAACGTGTCCTCTTCCCTGGACCCTTAAACAGAAAAGATACACACTCTGTTAACTTTCCAAACAAGAAATTTCCATAATCAAACTATGGAAACTAGACATTTGAATCCTTAATAAATATTGTGGAAACTCGAAAAAATAAGTTAAAAAAATAATAAAAATTTTAAAAAGCAAGGGAGGTGAAATCTACATTAAATTAAAACTATTTGGACGTGATATTTTGGAAAATCTAAGATATGCATCTGGACAATCAAGTGATCCGTTTATTGTTAACTGACGCAACAAGAAGTGAATTGAAAAGCTATTTTAAAGAGGTTTATGGACAGATTAATCCACCTTTTAACAACCTTTTAATAAACTTTTAACAGAAGAGAATAAAAGGCAGCCAACTTCCAATGAAGAGTTGTGGGATGTAATTCAACAAGCCTTGAGAAGTATTCCTGAAGACCTCATGAAGAAGTGTCAACAAAGCTTGTCTAGGGGAGTTTAGGTTGTGTTGAGGAATAAGGAAGATCATACCATGACTTTTCCACATCGGCCCCTGGATGACAAAAGGTCGATGTCACCACAACACAGTTTTTCACATTAGGAGAACCATCTCCACAAATAACACAATTATCTTCACTGGTCTGATCTGTGGAAATATGGCTGAAATATACACTGATATGAAGCAGAGCTGATTTACATGTCCACACTGCCTGGTGTGCCTGCAGTACAACACAGCTCAGACAGCAGCTGCAACTTGACACGAGGAACTGCCTGGGCTGCAGTTTGTCCAGAGTAAAGCTGTTTAATTCAAAAGATTACCAAAGGTTTAGAAAAAAAATAAAGCTCAATCAGGTGCCAGTTTAAGTTGAAAAGCTATTTAAGAAGCAGCTAGTTGAGGGAGACTTCGATGTTAACGTGAGAAGAAAACCAGGTGCATAAACACATTATTATATTTTCTTTTAACTTTGACACAAATTCTACACGAACTCTGAGCTCTGTCCTTTAAATCCGTTTTAAAAATCAGACCAAGTATCAACGCCAGCAGAGAGCTCCGTGCCAAGCATGCTAACATTAGCTAGCTCGTTTAGCTAACCTAGCCAGGCACGATGTGACAGCTCGCATCGCGGGCTCCCACGGTCAGTCAGACACTGACTGCAGGGCTTTAAACTGGTCTCTCGCAGGACCCACGAGCAGCTCTTATCAGCTCACCTGACGCACAACTAATAATATAATCCCTCACCTAGGCAGATGCCTTCAGCATCCAAGACGTCAGAGAAGGACATTCCTGTGTCACCGTCAGTGAAAGCGGCACTACGGATCTTGTAATAGGTCAGTGCTTGTACGATGTCATTGTATTGACTCAAACGTAGACCAATTGGAAAAGGAGGAAAGACTAGACGCCGAGTACATTAACCAATCCAATAAAAGAAGGGCGGGGTATATATTCTAAATAACCAATGTGAGCAGGAAAGAAATCGAAGAACCACCCCAGTCCCACATATAATATAACCTAGCAACAGTTAGAAGTTCTAAAAACGGGATTAATATATTTTAAACAAGGCAAAAAATGCTCTTCTCAAATACATGTTTGTGACATTTCACCAAATCGTTTCAGTACTTAATTCGCGAAATCTTTCTTTGAATTAACTGAAGTACATTTCAAATAAGTAAACCATTGCCAAATTTAGCGAACATTTCATTAAAAACAATGCACCTTATTAATGGTTTATGAAAGACTCCGAGAGTCGAGCATGGTAAGAAAACTGCTGTATTAAGACAACTGTTTCTGGTACTGGTAGTTATTTTTCAAAGTACAAGCATAAGTACAGTCTATTCTGTATCCGGTATGCAAAACAGTGTATGTTCTTGGGTTTATCCAACCCAAGTCTAATGGTTATTTGGTCAAATTGTCTCTCAGAATAATATGAATTTTCTTGTCACATTTGATTTTAACTTGCAATCTAACCTTAGTTCTTCAATTCACGCACAGCCAGTGTGTCATTTTACAATCTGTAGCTACTTTTTCAATTATATCAGTGGTAGAGAGCATTGTATTATCCTGTTACAACGAAATACCACTTTTCAGAATCAGAGTTAGTTTATTGTCTGCGCAATGGGGGAAAAGAAATGTTTCTTTTGTTATGAAAAGGAATTCCGGATGCGTTATGTTGTATACAGGAAGTGGTGTTTACAAAACAGTTGGATTGATTAGGCTAATGTATCAGCAATGGTGGTGGGATGAAGAACTTATGTAGTCGAAGTGATAGTGGAAACATGTCGGAATAGACAAGAGGTCATGCAGCTTTTGTTTGCCAGCCGTTGAGAGCCAAAGTGAAGTAAGTCAAACGAAAAAAAAAAGCCATGGGAAACCTGTACATATGAACATGGGTCGAGGGAATCTGGCCGAGAGTCTCACCGCTTCCATATCAGGTTAAACCACCGGTTCCCAAGAACCGGAGCTTTCCCAAACGCCTCGATGTGAGAGCTCTGGCAGGAACGACTTTAGTTATTTCATGAGACGCAGGAACTCATAATCAAGATGGGGGCACTCTGAGTGGCGCACCCTTCATGGCGCCGACGCAGCTGTTCCGCTACTGGCTGTGCCTGCTCGTCCTGAGCCTTCCCCTGCTGCTCTGGTTCGGGCATGTGATCATTTGGGACGATGGATCAGCTGCCGCCAAGAACCGAGGGCTGCAGGGCTACACGAGGATCAGCCCCGGGAGGATGAGTCAGGTGAGTGGCCATGATGATGATGAGGATGATGGTGATGATGATGGAAGCTGGTTTGGATCCACATGAAAGGATGCTGGAATTATTTGTGGGAACTGTGTTGTCTGCTCGATAGTTTGTGGCTTTGTTGTGTATTTTTGTTTTGCAGCTACAGTTGAAGGCAGCCCAGTGTTTGATTATAACGCAGTAATACACTAGAGATGTTATCTGGTATATAGATAGCAGCAAATGCAAAACACACTTAAGTCCTAATACATAATTATGTATATATAATATACTCAAGGTGTTTCCTGGTTTTGTCGCATTCTATTTGCCCTAAAAAATATATAATTAATCAGGTCTTAATGATTTAACTTTCACAAAAGTCTCTTAAAGCAGTCATTCTTTTTCACAAATGATTTTCAGTAATGTAGGGTCATTCTGAAAAGCAGGAGAAGTTTTCCTTATGCAGTGCATTCATTTGGACTCCATTCCCCTGTCTGTTTTAGTACAACAGCATTATTAGTCGATATTACAACACACAACGTTCTTCTTCTTCTACCCTTTTTCTCAGCAGCTTCTGGACATTCACTGTGATCAGTGTGCCTTCGTGTCCAGCTCCGGTCAAATGCTCGGCGCCGGCGCTGGAGATGAGATCGACAGGATCAGATGCGTGATCCGAATGAACAACGCGCCCACGGGGGGGTACGAAAAAGACGTCGGGAGCCGCACGGCCGTCCGGGTGGTGTCTCACACCAGTGTTCCCCTGCTGGTGAAGAATGAGACATACTACTTCCAGCAGTCGGCAAACACAACGTACGTTTTTTGGGGTCCTGAGAGGAACATGAGGCAGGACGGAAAAGGACCAATCTTCAACCTCCTCCTGAAGATGGCGATTAAGTATCCGGAAGCCAAGATATACGCTGTGACCAGAGACAAGATCCAGTACTGCGACAGCGTGTTTCAGAATGAAACCGGAAAGAACAGGTACGGATAATTCCACACAAAAGCCGCGGCCTCGTTTACAGATGCTGTTAGCTGGTCATGACCATACAGTTAACGCGGGAAATCACGTTATACCTATGCTGATGGAACTGTGGGTGTCTCTCTTTCAGAATGAAAACGGGGGCTTTTCTCAGCACTGGATTTTTCACCATGATTTTGGCCATGGATATGTGCGACAGCATCACCGTTTACGGAATGATCGACAACAACCACTGCAGGTGGGCTCCACATATATTTATTCCTTTTTCTATTTGTTCTCAAAATGCCCTGACCTTCGGCCCTGTTCCTCCTCATGACAGTCTAGCCAACAGAAGCTTCGTCCCTTACCACTACTACGAGAAAAACCGCCTGGATGAGTGCCGGATGTACAGAGTCCACGAGCACACGCAGCGAGGAGGTCACCGCTTCATCACAGAAAAGGCCATCTACGGTAAATGGGCAACGCGCCACAAGATAGAGTTCAAACACCCCTTCTGGAGCTTCTGAGGAATGAGAACCTGAGGAGAAAAGGATATTCCTGTTGTGAATTTTAAAACGTTTTCATTTAAAGTGTTTTCTCTTTCGTAAACAGAATTTTATTTTATATTTTTTATAAAGAAGATTGACGTATAATACCTGTCGTTAGGGCATCTGCAATGATGATGATGTTTAAGATTTGCCAGCCTATTACCACTGACACAGTGTCACTCTGAGTATCACTGAATATTTCTGCTGGACATACTCTAAATCAATTTGGATACCGCACACCAATACCCAAAACAAAGCATTTTCAGTTTATGCCAAAGCTTGCAATCTTTCCTTTTTTTTACTCTTTGTGCCTTGGTCTCATGTGGTGTCATACTGCACAATGCTTTCTTTTAAGCTGCCATTTGCCTGTATGACTTAAACTATGATATGATTTGCACCTTTCTCTTTGAGACTGTGGTGTTACTTCCACGCACTTGGTCAGGATTTCGTCTCAAAACGTGGTTGTTGAGGCTGGCTAACATATTATCAAACCCAGTGTCATCACCTCAGGCCACGTCACACACATTTCTTCCTCCGCAGACTGGACTTTGAATGTGGGTGTTATGAACAACAGGAAGGCCTGCTGGTGGTGATAAGTTTTATCTTAAATGTTAAGCAAGAGCTCAATCAGTTGTTATGGAAACATATCCACAATAATAAAAAAAAAGCTCTATGATATGGTTTGGTGGGACAGTTTTCTCTAAAGTCATCTTGCATCAGGAGGGCAATTGTGGTGGACTCAAATCATGTTTCTAAATATGGAACTATATAAGCTGCCAACAAGAAGCTGACATTTTTAGGAAAAAAGGATAATGGTTTTGTTTTTAATGCGCGTATTGGAATAGTTTTAGCCTTCTGTAATAGGAGGATCCTAAATCTGTGGTGCATTGTTTCCGTGTCCATGCTGCTTTTTAAACCCCTTTCAAGTGGAAAAACTGCTTGTCTTGTAAAGTTTTTCCAAATAACTCTAAAAGGAGCTCCTACTCCCAGGTTTAAAATGTGCACCCTCTCTGCCATAATTTGTCTATTTATGTCAGACACTTATTACTAATAGCCAGATAGCACAATCGGTGAACTTCTAAGTATTGGTGTGCTCAAAGAACCAAGCAGCCCTGTCTAAACAGGACATCCAGAGTTCAGTTCAGTCTGTTTAACCTGGATTTTGTAAGTAATGCATAGAGGATCAATACAAAGTGTGTTTCTGCTTTGAGGTCTCATGAGCGTCTGACAAATTCCCGCAAACAGCCAAACTCTGGAAAACAGACTTGGTGTTGGACGTTCACTCTGAATGTAATAGGCTAAAACGCATTGGAACAAACTTTTTTTTTTTCTTAAAGCGTCCACTGTTTTTACCAGTATATTTTTCTGCCTGTTTACAATTTCAAACATAGCACTGCCTTCTCAGTTGCATAATACTTTTCTTTGACTAATTCCAAAGACTCTACCTGTATTTGCACTACTGACCAAGTACATCTCAAGTATGACTTTTTATGATGAAGTTGCATTTTAGGTGCAAGTTATCAGCATCTATAAACTGCAAAGGAAGAAACATGAATGTAAACTGAGCAGTTGTAGAGCTAGATGTGCATAAATAAACTGGCTGTTGAAAAATCCCTGTTTCTTTATTTTTTTTATTTCATGATAAAGGAACTAAATGAGGTCTCTGAAAATATGTTTTATGTTGAAAATGGAGGGCAGTTTTTTATTTTTTATTCAAAGGGTATTTCACAGATCTAAAGTTTTGTTATCCAGTGCAAACTGGCCTGCTATTCCTGGTGAATGTAATGGTATTTCTTTCTTTCTTTGGTGGTTTTCATAAAAACAGGAATAGTTTGGCGGGTTTGGGCCTATTAATTAGGAAAGTAGTAGGTGCTTAAACATCGCCATGCATCTATCAAACTTTGAATTAAAAAAATAGACTCTGGGTAAAGCAGAGAGAATAAGTTCTAAAATATTGATAAACACTGAGATCATGTTTAATTTCAGAGAAAACTTCAGGATATTCTACTGTTACCAATTAAACATCTATATAGAGTTTGTAATTATCAGATGGATGCAAGAAAGAACACATAACTGTAGCAAGTCTAACAATATCTTCTGTTATTCACATTATTCACATTATTATTGAAATCTACTACCAAATGATTGATTCATCCCAAAGAACATCTAGATCTATGAAAATAATGGCTGTAAAAAAAAAGAAAAAAAAGAAAATCTAGAGCAAACTGAGGGGTTGTTTAAATTTTATATTCTGATAAATACCTCTAAGAATGTATTCTAAAAACATTCAA